GTTTTTTGAACGCCTAGTGATCGCTGTTGAGTTATATGTTGTTAATTCTATTCTTGGACATTATGAGCATGCATGGTTTCTCGTCGTTGAATGTGGCTGGGCAATTCTAATTATTGTGGTTGGAAGAGGTTGATCTTTGACGTTTGAAAACATGTTGAGATGAAATGCATATACTGATCGTATGTTACTTAGTTTTATGTCGTTTAGTTGGGAGCTGTTGGGTAGTGTTTTGTTTGGTACGATTAAATGTATGCTGGAAAATTTTGTTGTGACTTGGAATGAGGGTTTATTTGTAGGTGGTCACGGAAGGGTTAGTGAAGTGGTGGAGGGTGAAGGGTAAAGGGACGGGTTGATGGACCGTTAACCCTGAGTGTTCTGACCTGGAAAATGCATATAAATCGCTTGGAGGTTCAAGGCTTGAGTAGTGGCCTTGGGGATAAATGACAAGGCCAGACGTCAAATTTTCTGTAAACGTGTATTGGGGACTTGGGGATAAATGTCAAGGACCAATACACTGGGAAGTCATCGGTACCTTGGGGATAAACGACAAGGACCGGTGCACAGTTCAGGCCTTGGGAATAAATGGCAAGGCCGAACGTCAAGTTTCTGGAGAGGAGTATTGAGGCCTTGGGGATAAATGTCAAGGGTCAATACGACTCGAGGAGTTAGGCTTGAGGGATTAAAGAAGAGTGGAGCGTGCGAAGTAGTGGTGTTTGGCCTTGGGAATAAATGGCAAGGTCGGACATCAAGTACCGGAGAAGCAGGAGGTACGGTGACTTGGGAATAAATGTCAAACTATTAGTTCGCTATCTCTCTATGCTTATTTGTTTGCCTTGCTCTTGTTTTGTTCTAAATGTCAAATTAATTGCTCGCTATCTCTCGCTGCTTATTTGATTGCCCCGCTATTGTTTTGTTCTTTATGTTGGGACTGTGAGCATAATTTATTTTGTGCTAGTTAGGAAGTGCTACTTACGGAGTACCTTATGTACTCACCCCCTTTTTCTTTTTGTACCTTTATATGTTTCAGGTGTGAACGAGGTCGACCGCGGTGATGATGTGAAGAGGGCTTGACCAAGGAAGGATCACTGGCTTAGTTAGTGAGGATAGGGGGAAGGGTAGTTGGGTACGATTAGTCTGAAGATTTATGTTATTGCTGGGTGTGAACCGCAGAGGAAAATTTTGTATTCTTTAGAACTACTTTAATTGTCATGGGTGTTGTTGGTAAACGCATCGTTGTTGTCGTTGGAGTTTAGGTGCACGGTTGTTTTTTACTTATTTAATAATTTTTGCCACTGAGGTGATTTTGAGATGTCGTTGTTTTCTTTTAAATCGCCCACGGAGGGCGGAGTTCTGACAGTTGATGATATTTATATTTCTGATAGAATGTATGGAAGTCGAAACTTTATTTCATCTAAATTATTTCTAGGAGATTGCTTATCTCGTGTTTACAGTTAAGGTTAGCCAGAAGAATTATTTTAGTGTTGCCTAGGATGTTATATGAATTCTTGGGGCTTTACAGACAAAAGTGCGAGGAAGACGAAGAAAATGACGATATCTCCCAATATGAACTGCGAATACGTACTACGGTGCATGACTCGCACTAAGATGAAGAGAAGGCCCCTGTTCAAGTGCAAGAAGGAACATCCGGCCTTGAGGATGTCCCAAACGAGCCATGGAGGAGTCATCTTCCTCTTCTTCGAAAGGTATGACCCATTTTTTTCGAGTTTTAATGTTTTTTACCCGAACTTTGTTGCTACTACAGAGAACTCAAAGGAAGAAGTGTGTTTGGCCAAAATGGTGAAGAAAGTAGAGAAAAACAAATTTAGCCCAAATTGCGTCTAGTGTAATTTCGCCATCTCGAACTCGAGCCACTATAACGGGTTTGGCAGCCAAAAAAGCAGCTGAGGCTGATCCATCTAAAAGCTAAGAGGCCTAGGACACTTGCAGAGACAGAAGAGCATCCTGAAGAGGTTAATGAAAAGGAGCCCGCTTCTACCAAGCAACAACCATCAAAAGCCAAAAGGGTAAGGTTGGAAGTGAAAAAGCCCGACTTCGCAGCGCATGGTATCTTGGTTGAAAAGGGTCTCGATGATGAGCGAGAGCCCGTGCCAGAGTATGTCAAGTGATGGCTTGTAGAGAATGGTTGTAGACGTTGTTTGCCCCACCTACGCGGGTGTGAGAGACCTTAATAAAACACTTCTATGCTGCCATCCACCCAAATCGAGGAGATGTTGTAAGAGTAAGAGGTAAAGTGGTAAGATTTTCTCCTTTGGTTATTAACACTCACTATGGGATGCCGGATGTGTTTGATGCAATAGGTAATGAGATCTTGGTGCATCTGACAGACTAACAATTAGAGGAGGCACGTAAGCTCATCTGTAGGCCACAAAAATCATATACCGTCTCAACAACGGGGAAGTTTTCCTTAAAACCCCTGGCTATTAATGAGCAAGGCACGGCCTAGACATGTGTGGTGAAGAATTGGTTGATTCCCACTTCCCACGATGCCTTTATCAAGCGTAATAGAGTGATGATGGTGTACATTTTGATGAAGGGCATTGAGTTTAACTTTGGAGAACTCATAAGGAACGAGATTCGAAGTTGTTCGGAGAAAATGGTAGGTCCACTTTTTTTTCCGGGGCTAATAACAAAAGTATGTTTCCAAGCACGTGTGGAGGCTGATGATTAGGATGTAGTGATGCCTAAGAAGCCGACCACATTCATAAGGAGAGTTCGGGGATACTCGATCGTTCGTGAGGAGAATTCTCCCACTACCGCCGCAGATCCCAAGACCTGTGGTGTGGCTATTAGAGAACAATACGACGAGTTAAGGCTCAAATATCATCTTCTCTTAACTACTAAACACGCCATGTGTGGGTTTCTCAAGGCCGACTTGCCTTCTTCTTCATGACCTACCGGCCATGATTCTTCGAATGATGATTAAGGGAGTATCTCTCTCTCTTTGCTTTTATACTGGATGTTTTGGATCTTGCTATTGTATGTTAGTTTATTTAGTTTGGGTTTTTGTGCTTTTGTGCTTTTAGTTTGCTTGTTTGGTTGTTTAGGTTAGTTTTTGTTTTAGGATAGTTTTTGTGGGATGTTATGCTGTTAGTAATAAATATTGAATGTGTTTCTGCATGTTGCTTTAAGTTCAAACGTTGTATGCTTCCTTATTCTAGCTACAAGTTTGTCCTTAGCTTTTTCAATGACATCTTTTCTAAACTTCCAGCATGCTCATCTTTTTATTGAAAAACTTTCCTCTGTTCTTTGTTTTTGTATCATGTCAATGAGGATATTTAAGGGCATGAATAAGTTAGATTTTCTAATTTTATGATCAAGTCATAAGTCATTGTCCACTTTTTGTTTTGATTATAAAATTGTGTTCTGCTTCGTTTTGTTTTGAAACTTATATTTTTTCATTGTTTTAGAAGTCCTTGTCCTTTTTGTGCCAAAAATTTGCATCTCTCAAAATTTCTTTCCCCAGCAAGGACAATATTTCCCGTAAGTTTGGGGGCAGGACAATTTGTCTTTTTGTTTTAGAAAGAACATGTTTTTTACGTCTCGAAAAAGAGTCAGAAAGAAAATGGAAGCAATAAAAAAGAGTCATATGCAAAGAATATATTTTTTTCTAAAAGAAAAACTCCAAAAGAAAAAAAATCAAGTCAAAAAAGAGTCTTAAGAGAAAATAAGATTGGAGGAAAGAAAAGAAAAATAAAAGTGTAAGAAAGACAAGAGT